GGGGGGGATTTAATATAGTAACATTCACCCCTGAAATTTCACGATGAACTATTCCAACCTTTTGAATTGGAAGACTCCGCCTAGAACAATAGTCAAAACGAGAGCATGTTCAGAATAGGATTTAGGCTTAGATGATCAGTTTAGTCTATCCGATCTATCATTGTAAAAATAAGCAGCTTCAAATTCAAAATAAATCACATGTCTGTATTTCTTGATCCTAACTAAAATGTACAAAACGCACTGAACGATTTGCATGAAAACTGTATTGTTGTCGGCTTGTCTTATAGATGAACTTGTTTCCTTATCTACAAACTCTATAATGTTAAAAACCCAAGCATTTGTATTTCAAAAAAAAACCAGTGAAAATTATGGGTTTTCATCGCAAGCGAAAAAAAGTGTCCTCTGAAGGTAAGTATTTTTTCCACATTAGTGATATAAAATATCATGCAAATAAACGTTTATAAATTCTGCTGAAAAGAAACTGACCAGAAGCTTTGTATACGCAGGGACGTATATATACTGTCCCTGGTATACGCCGTAACTCTTCCGCGAGTGAGCACATGACACAATTTCTTAATTAATATTCATTTCTTTCCAATTTAGCTCCAATTTTGATATTTAATTGCACCAGTGTAAAATGTCCTGTCTATAGCATCTCATGTGGTGTACACCAGTGGAACTCTGTTACTTCTTTAGCGGAACTGGACTTGGTCGATCGTCGGTATAGAGCATCCGTCTGGAGTTCGGAGGGTTCCGGGTACGAATCCCAGTCTGACCGTGTATTTCTCTTTGTCCTGTTACACTTCTAAGGGAATTTACGTAACCTTGGCACATTTCATTATAATTTATTTATAAATTTATTTCAGCATTTGTATATATACATGTATTACCTTCCGATTTCAAAGTGGTCGTATCTGGGTCAGTGTCCCCATGATTGTCTCAGAGGGGCACCAGTTCAAGGTACATTTTGTATGGATTAATTTTCCATTATATAAACCTTGGTCATCGCTTGGGAATATGTCAGTCGTGCACTGCATCAATCGAAAATAATCATGACGTTCTCAGGTTTAAGTAGTTCTGTTTCTGCGTTTAACATGATACGATGTGTTTGTCTGATAAAACCACATGATTTAGTACTTGATACCTTACGTCTGGCAGGTAAGAGTTATTTCCCTTATGATGAAGTAATGCAATAGAACCCGTATAAGGAAGTGACGTGATTCTAGGCGACTGATGAAGTCTGCCGATTATTGATCTGATATAATATCCAGAAATAGCAATTAGTTTGACAAACACCCCATACTGACCCGGGAAATGACAGAGATTCGAAGACTGCCCACGTTTGAGTAGAGGAGGTTCAAAGAAAAGAGTAATCCTCTTGCTCTTACTTAATCTGACTCCGCCATTTTGTGTTATTTGAAAAGTCGGAGATGGCAAAAAAGACATATGATCTGTTGTTCAAATTGCTTCTGATTGGAGATTCCGGTGTAGGCAAGACTTGTCTTCTTTTCCGTTTTTCTGATGATGCTTTTAATACAACATTTATCTCGACGATAGGTAAGTTGAAGGTAGGATCGCAATGTTTTCACACCGATCAGGTGCCCCCTCCCAATTTTTAAATGGACCGATTTCCATAAATGTCTCTTCCGACTGTTGAGTCATAGTCACGTATATGTTATTTATATGATAATTATAGTCCTCCATAATGAGAAAAATAAAGCACAATTGATCACACATTCTTCGTCATCTGATAAAAAAAATAGGGGATATTGGATTCTACCACTCAGAATGTAAAATAATTATTTTTATGAATTGAATATCTAGACCATTTTTATACTGCCTACTAGTAGTGCCTAGTAATACAAGTCAGTGTCAATTATAGTAGATCTATAGTGGTCTTATTTATACTTCATGGGTAGGGGCAGAACCCCCAAAAATCAGACTGAGACTTAAACTCATGGCTTAATTTTATTTGTACATGTGGCAGATTTTAAGTGTACATAGGGTTACGGTCCCCTTCTACCTTTGCGCTAGAGGAAATTTCCCTTTAGCTGAGTGGTAGCTATATAGATCGACCGATGAGGAACCTATACAGATTGTGGGTTCTATCCCAGTTGAAAGTACACTATACTTTCTTTCCTGTTACAAATGGTGTCCGTGGCCCTTATGACTACAGGGAGTTGGAACCTGGGTTGTGTTGATCAAGGGCGACCACATTTAAAAAGGGGGGAGAAGTGTGGACCATTTTAATTTTTGTGTTTGAGATCTAATATTAAAAATGATATTGTAAGTGTTCTGCCCTCGATGGACACAGATATTTTCTTTACACCCTTGCAATTGGCATATATATATCATGACAATGCAACACTTAGTGGTTGATAAAAGCTGAACTAAGTAGACTAAAGTCTTTGATTTATAAAGATTAAAGGAATCATGTGGCATTTTAATGGTGTAGCGGAACTAGACTGGGTCGACCAGATAGCTCAATTCATAGACATCAGTCAAGAGTTTGGAGAGTCTAGGATTCGAACACGGTCTGGCCATGCATTTTTCCTGTGACCAACCTTGTTTCAAGCATTTGGTGTATGCTTGGCAAGCTTAAAGGGGATACCCAAACCTGGGTTGTAAATAGTTGTGTCTTTGGGGGCAAGATCTAGACGTAGATGAAGGTGGAAGTAATTTAGCGGAACTGGACTGGGTCAATCGTCGGCGACCAGATAGCTCAATTGGTAGAGGGTCCTGGGCTCGAACCCCAGTTAGGCTGTGCATTTTTCCTCTCCTGTTACAATGGTAAAATTGACCAGCATTGATATCGGGTGTCTCTCCTCTGTATTACTGTAATTGAATTATTTCAGGAGAGGCATTACCTTAGTGATTGGTCCTGTTTAATTTTCATAACACCAGTGAAATAGATTATCATAAGCCTTAATTTTGTCATGGTATATGTATCAAGAGAATGTACAGAGCCCATAGATTTCGAAAATGAAGGACTATATATATATATATAATTTTAATATTAATACAGGATAATCTTGAATGCTTTTTTCTGAATATTAATATGCATTAGGACCGTACATGTTACGAGTACCCAATTGCAATGATTGGTTGGTTTAGACAGGAAACCAGGTTTGAAAATGTACACACGTGTTGTACCCAACAAAACAGAAAACTAAATCTGAGTGTTTCATGTCCTTTTACTTATTACTTCATCATAATTTAATATATATCTTGTCTGTATTCATCTGCACAAAACCTCATGCTAATTGCGACTTCACAAAAAAAAACCAGCAAAACCTGTCGTGTATATATATAGAAAATTTTATATCATGAATTCTATTTCACATCTTTTTTTCAGGTATTGACTTTAAAATAAAGACAGTAGAATTAGGAGGCAAGAAAATTAAATTGCAGATATGGTAAGTTTATAATTATTGTCGGGGATTATAAACTTAAGTTTTACAACTGAAAGAAAATACCAAGTTTAACACCATACAGTAGAGGTGCAAACTGGAATGTTATATTGTTGCTTTAACATAATTAGAAGTGCTGTTCTGATTGATTTTGGAGTTGGTTGAGTAGTGGTCACCTCAGTGCAGTTAAAATTATCTACAATTGACTTAACTTGTTTGAAAGTCAGCATTAGAAATAGAATAAATTTGTTGACAATAAAAAAACCCAAAGTGATAAACAATTTATTGACTATCCCTTTGGATGTTTACATACATGTTTACAATGAATGAATAATATATTTTTATCTGAAATACATGTATGGATATATTTGTATTCAAGTTGGATTTGCATACAATTGCAAGTTAAGGTACTTGGATTTGTGTGTGGACACTTACTGTTAGTTGTGTGTTACAGAGACTTGAATTATAAAATAAAGTGCTTTAGTAACTGTGTACATTGTAATAGGTGTTTGTGTACTACCTCCACCATCGTCGGAAACCCACATTCGATTGTACTAGCGATTGATAAACGCTAGTACAATTGAACATGGGTTTCCGACGATGTACCTGCACACTTGTGTTTACATACATACATATGTAGTACAGTAATTATAATAAGTGTGTGATTTACAGGGACACAGCAGGACAGGAGCGGTTCCACACTATCACCACTTCCTACTACCGTGGAGCTATGGGCATCATGCTTGTCTATGACATCACCAACACAAAGTCTTTCGAAAATATATCCAAGTGGTTAAGGAACATTGATGAGGTATTATCAGTTACATTGTACTTATAATATTTTTGTCCCACCTTTTTTGTCTCCTGCTTTAATTTGGGAGCAACTTATTTCAGCTTGCACCAGCCCTCTTAACAGGTCCTTGGAATATTATTGTATGCATGTAGATTATCTGATATTGTTAATTTCCAAGCAGCTCATGGGAAAAAATAACATAATGAGTTTTATGTTTGTATGTGAATTTGAATAAATAAAAGAGCAGTAGTGCTTTGAGAATTAGCATTTAGCTTCCATATCAATACTTATGGAGTGTCTTGAATGTCCTACCATCATATCAATACATATGCACAATTTATAGGTGAAATTATATTTTCACTGTATTTCAGCTGTATTTGAGGATAAACATGTTCTGACATATAGAAAATAAAGACTTGTTTGTCTTTGCATTTCAGCATGCCAATGAAGACGTAGAAAAAATGATTTTAGGTAATAAATGTGACATGGAGAACAAACGTCAAGTGTCAAAGGACCGCGGAGAGTCGGTAAGTGACAGCTGGGCTTATTTTTGTCAGTTAATTAATTTTGGTATTTAGTTGCAATAACTTACAAGCTGATTGGAGGATATGTATTGTTCCCATTTATTAAACCATATTTGATAAACCTCTTTGTGTGGCCTCAGATGCATATAGGCAACATATAAGGTTACTCTGCGATGTTGTCCACACAAAGAACTCTTGAAGGATCAAGAGATGGTTTTATTTTCATGGAAATCTTAACGGATCTACTTCAGTATTATTTACACCTATTGTTTGATTTTGAGTTGGACCCAAAATTAAATGTTCTGACTGAGAGAAACAGGTAGAGTGGACTCCCCAGTATCATGATGTCCAGATTTTTATCTGTTTTCTAGATCTCTTCTCAATCTTTTATATTTTCCTTTATGCTTGTAAAATGTATGTTATTAATGCAACTTTGAAAGTCAGCTTTGATACATTGCCCAACCATTTTTTCAAACAAGTATAACCACTGGCACTTTGTTTTTAGGGTTTTACAGCTTATGTAGCTCAACTATTACAAACATAATACTTTTACAGTAGGTTTCCAACAGTCATAACTCATGCATGACAATTGCTTTTCAATAACTAATCAATAAATTTGACTTCTTTTACAGATCGCGAAGGAACACTCAATACCCTTTTTAGAAACGAGTGCAAAAGCTAATATTAATGTGGAAAAAGCATTTATGGATTTAGCCAATGCAATATTACTGAAGGTAAGGAACCTGGTCAGATATTTTGGAAGTGTTTCATCAGAATCCAACATTATCAACAAGTAGATATCTTAACCATCGGAATGTTACCCAACAGGATTTAGTTGATTCCTTATCACCCCAAATGCATTAGATACTTAAAATAATCCTGTCCGTCAATCTGAATAAGATCATCTGTTACATGGGTTTGTTTATTACGTACTTTGCCTAAACATTTAGATGTAATACATTAAGTTGCCAACAAAGCCAGGCACCGTGTAATTTTAATTGGATTGCCTGTTCTTGATGTTATTGAGAAAAAATTAGAGATATGAAGTATGAAATAGAAACTTTTCCATAACTTGTACTTGCAATGTTTACATAGTCAAAAATACAGGCAGTTTTTATAGGCCTGGCAAAAGGAAGGATGTATTAAATGGTTTAACATATGCATGAGCTGGCAGGGAAGTAGTCATGCAGGGCTGCAGCTGGTGCACACACTAGTTTTCGCTGAATACCTGGAGTAATAATGATTGTATTATATTCAAACTTCATGACATGATTTATTACCATGAAAGCTCACATGAGTTCAATAACTGTCGTTAAATTAAAGCTGACACTGCAAGATAAAAAAGCTTTCAAATGAGATAAGAAAAAGAAAAAAATCAAAATTCTTCTTGTTTTGAGATCTTCCCCATATCTTCGCACTATCGTTTCTGAGGAAGTGCCGACATTTTAGTTTTTCCTTGATTGGTAACAAGTATGGGTCTCGCTGGGTATAAAAAGTGCATTACCCGTCAAACTGGTTATCATTAGTTCAATATGTGCACAAGGTGACACTACTTTACTATATATATGGAACAAAACCAGATTTATTTATTTTTTAAATCTCAATTGAATGCTTTTTAACTTGCACTGTCAGCTTTAACCAACTGCAATGTTTTGAAATATAATTCTTAATGGAAAAATCGTCTGCTAAATATTCTGAGTAATAACTGGTAAAGAGTAATGACCATAAAAGCTTGGACAACTTCTATAACTGCCATTTTCTGACATGAGATCTTTAGAGTTCTGGCCATTTACACAAAAAAATCTAAACTCTCAATTATGATCTTGAGTAATTTTCATCGTAAATTTCAAAACTTGGTGACAGTGTAATTTTCCTTGAAACTTCAAACAAGATTGTTAACTGCCATTATCAGACAGTAATTTTCGGAGTTACCAACTTGCCAACCCTTTCAATGTATTTTATTTCACTATAATCATTAGATATGACAAGTTCAATAATTGCCATTTAATATCGTAATGTAATTTTTAGAGTTAGAGCCTTTTATAGAAATCAGATTTGGACAAACTGAACGACCTTGTCATATTCCTGCACTAATGAATATGTCAAAATAATTTATTAAACTGTGTAAGAAAATGTTTATAAGAGGTGACATCATGATATTAAGCACCAGATGAGGTCTTTAATCTATTTTTGATGCTTTCTCCATTATGTAACATTGTTGCATTCAATTTGTCAATTTTGTGTTCTGATTTTGTACTTGTGTCAATGGAGTGTTTTTTCAATTTTCATTGAACATCTTGATTTCTCTTTCAGACTCCAGGTAGAGATTCAGAACCGAAGGGGGAGACCCTCACAGGTGGTTCAAAGCAAGAAAAGAGAAATTGCTGTTCAACATAATAATATATGGGACAAACTTTCAAAGACAATTCCCTTTGCTGACTGTTGGTTCTCCTTCCTCTCCCTCCTCTGTAGATGGGAGTGGTAGAATGGACCTGGCTGTCATTTCTCCCTCCTCTCCCTCCTCTGTAGATGGGAGTGATGGATGGACCTGACTGTCATTTCTCCCTCCTCTCCCTCCTCTGTAGATGGGAGGGGTAGATGGACCTGACTGTCATTTTTCTCTCCTCTCCCTCCTCTGTAGATGGGAGTGGTAGATGGACCTGAATGTCATATGCTGCCCCCTCTCCCTCTGTAGATAGGAGTGATGGATGGACCTGGACTTAGTGCATTGCCACAAAAAACACAGATTCATATGCTGCCCCTTCGCATTGAAGCAGATCTAGTCGTGCAGTTTCTTGGAGTTTTCTGCACCAGAAATTTTACCCCATTTATTATCTTTAGGAAAGAAAATGTACTTTTGAAAAAAATAGAGGAATTTAAGGTTTCGATTGATCAATTAATATTCCAAGATTTCAGCTGTAACATTATTTCATAAAAGTTATGCTGTTTCAAGGGAAAAGAGACATACTTGATGATTTCCTAGCTAAGTAATGTTATTCACAAATTAGACTGATCTTACCCTACTCAGTCTGGAATCAAAGCATCAGAGTTAATTCAATACACAAGTATGTGATGAAAACAGATATAGTGCACTAGCATAATTGTATTTTTTAATTATATTGTATTGGTAGAAATGGAAGTGTGTTTCACTAAACATATTGATTCGCTTACCGCTGATTGTAAAGAATAAACTGATGCACCTGATTCATAATACTGTAACAAATGTACTATCTAGAAAATAAAATATATGAAGAAATGATTTCATAAGTAATTCAGAATGCCAAAAAAGTAAATTTGCTTATTCAAGAGTGTTATCTAGTATCCTGATATCTGATACTCCCAACTTATGTACTTCCTGACAGAAACAACTGGTCAACCTGTTGACTTTACTACTTGACTGCACTGATTCATATCTTCTTCCTGGTTGCGTAAAACTTCAGTCAAGGGTAAACATTGCTGTTACTCCCAATTATGCTGTACAGGTGGAAACATTTGAAGTTTCATTTTAGATAAGACTGTGCTGCCAGTGTAAATTCTGTGATTGTATCATTTCAATGTTACCATGGATTTTGATGCCATTGAAATTATATAAAACTTGATGTTATGGTGTGTATATAACAGTATTGATCATTGTAATAACAAGGTAGGCAGGGAGAGTTTGAAGGTCATCATATATACACAATATAAAGAAAACATAGTTCAATTATATTGATTCACTCTGTGTATTTTATGTAAACTTTTCTGGCATTTTGCTAGATTTTCTCATATATATTATTACCAATGGAGATTGATGTTTCTTCAAACACAGGGGATAAAGTGAAATGGTTACCATGGAAGTACACTTTAAGCTTGTATGGAACTATGTTAGACCCCTGACTTTGTAAAGTTATCCGACTGTATAAAAGTTCATTTGCAGATTTGTGTAGGACCTCAATATGAGGAAACGTCTTAACACAAAGAACATTCTGAACTTCAATGCTTAAATTTTACATTTCTTCTTAATATTCTAGAGTTAAATTCCAGAGGTGATTTCTTAACAAGCTGAAAGAAATGTTATGACTCAAGGATGTAACACCTGTATTGACTGCCTCTTGTTGTGATGTGTGGCAACTGTTTGACTTGTGTTCAGATATCAGAATTCCATTGCTGTGTCACCTGATGTTTACAACTTGTTACAACTTTCTTGTTCTTCAGGCATTTGTGAAAAAATTGATTGTGATCAAAACAAAATGAAACAGTAGTTAGCACTCTTGGACTATGCTTGCCATTACATTTGCTTTAAACCAGTATGGAACATCAGTGTTTACCGTTAGGACTAAGTTCTGCACTGTAAAATATAATGTTGCAAAACCTTATTGATACGATTGCTGTCTGTAGAATGTGTGTTGTATACCATTTAAAGGTTCTGTAAGGTTAAGAGGTCAAATGTCCAATGTGATGATTTTTCTTTTTCGCTTGTAACTTTTCTATCAAAGATATTTTTGAAATTTCAAAATATATGCGCCATCAGTAAGAGGTGTGATATATACCTTTCTTACTTGAAGGGAGGGTCCTGCTGCAGTGTTGTAAGGGTTAAAGATGTGTCATTTCCCCTTACCAGGACCATATTTCAATGTCGGGCATAGATATAGGTCAAAGATTGTTTCATGTAGCCCTCCAAGTTCTCTTGTTCATGATCATCTTTTGTGTTACTCTTACTGGAAGGGACTTGCTCAAAGTTCACACAGAAGTCAAAGAGTGTCCGACTTGTATGCTTCTAAGAGTCTTGCTCTGATGTCCTTAAGTGACAGGTCAACAGTGGTTTGCCATGGACCTGTCTCAGGGCTGTACTCCTTGGTCACACCTAGAGGTAAAGAAATTGTGTTTCCCATGAGGGCCCTGTTCCAATGTCAGAGGTCAAACGTTGTGTCCTGTATCTACTCCAGGATCAGGATCACTCAGAGGTCATAAGGTGATATTCAATGTCCTGCAAATTATTAAATTTTAGAAACATATATGTTTTAATAATTTATGGAGATAATGATTACAGATATCTCAATAAATGTGCCATTTAAGTAATTCACCCCAGCATAGCGCACTGCTTTAGAATTTACATCAAACAAGGCACTTTGGTCTTCTGCTATGAAAAAAATAATGAAATGTAACTTGATTTGTAAGGATGTAGCTTTTAAATGAAAAGGCGATTTTTAGGTTTCTCCTTTTGTAGAGAATATGTGTTAATTGACTTCTAATGTGGTAGTTAAAAAGCAATACAGTCAGAAGTGGGGTTGGCAATCCTTACCTATAACACTGGTGATCCTACCTAGAAACTCACCCAAAAGTACGGAACAGAGAGTTACCTCCCCTGTACAAGATTATGATGGTGTCATGTCCTTTGTATAAAAGAGTTGCCTCTCAACGTTAAGTGTAACAGAGATTGAGAGTTACTTCCCTCATGCAAGATAAAGCGAGTTCTCCAATGTGTAACATATGAGAGTTGTGTCCCAAGTGTAATTGAGGGAGAGATGCCACCTTGTAGACAGTTATTCCCCTTGTGTAACGCTGATTGGAGAGTTGCTTCCTTTGTGTATCCCTTATAGTGCTAAGACATTACAACCAGATGGCACTTAAACTGCGACAGTATTCATATACATTGCTTCTTATGCTATAGTTTGTACACAATGTATCTGTACATTTTTTAAAGGTCCTGAGTTTACTTGTCTTTTGTTAAAATTCTACATGGTTAAACATTTGAACTTGAAGTGCCAACTTTTGGTCACATCCATAAAAGGACAGTAAGGAGGTGTTTTCTTTATGTTATTGTTTATTTTTAAGTTGTATTATATAAATGACTTTTAACTGTCTGTACACTTTTTTCATTTAAATGAAAGTAGAACTAATAGCATGCAGAAGTAGTACCGAGTGTAAGCCTGACACCATAGGTCAGAATGTTCGAGTTTGAGAGGATTCACAGTTGCAATGATTTTATGGTCCATATACCAGCTGCTGTATATACATATTGATAATACGTGTAATTTTTATGTACCAGATCTTAATTGCTTGGTTCAAGTTGGCAAAGTGATTTTGCATATTATTGATAGGCCCTGATTTCTCAAAAAGAAGATAAGCAAGTTGAGTTTTCTCAAAGGTACTCTTTAAAATACTTGTTCCAACTTGAAATACATATGAAGAATGTAAACAGCACAATGCCACTAGAAAAACACACCAAACTCAGTTGGCAATCATATCGGCTATATATGCCATGACCAGGTGGTTGAGAATGGTAGTGTTGGCTACCTCTTGTCCTCTGGTATGTAACAAGTATACATTTCATTTATGTTAATTTGAACTAACTGCTTATACTTAATGTTTTATATTTCAACATTATATTCAAAATTTATATTCAAAATGGTGTGCCAACACTTAACGTTTTTGTGTCAAGTACCCCTGTATAATACAAACTGTTTTGGTATTAGCTTTGAAATGCTTGCAGTTTCATTCATTGTCTTTTTTGAGTGCCACCTGGAAACTTAAAAATTCAACATGAAGTGCAAGGATGCTTTGTGGGTTTTTTAATTTCATGTTTACCTTCTGATTCATTTGGAACATAAATAACAACTGAAAGTTATTCAGTCCCTAAGTGGTTAATGTTTCATCATTTTAACTTTATATATATACAAAACTATGAAACAAATTTATACAGCACATTGGCACAAACAAATCTGTAGAAAAATTAGACTGAGCATAAGTCTGGGGGTTTTTATTATGAAGAAATCTGGGCATGGTTATAATTATGTAGTGCGACAGGGTCATATGTTACAGCCTTAGTTTGGTATCCCCCAGGAGGAAGTTTGATGTTTCGGCACAGGCTGTGTTTTATTGAGCCAAAAGGCAACAGGATTACAGGGTTACAGACCAGTTAGATATGAAGAACCAATCAGAAAAGGTTAATCAGTAGGTCACATTTTCCGTGCTAGGTTTTATTTTTTAAATATAACAGCATTTGTACATGGTGCTTACTGTACATTTTGTAAGATGAGGATCTTAGGTGCAGTAAAAGCCTCTTTGCTGTCATATCTTTGTGATCTCTCAGATCAAATTTTCATGATAATTCATACATGTTTAAAAAATTACAAAAACATCTTCATAATAACTGATGTTATATTTGAGGAAAAACTATTTTCCAATTAAATCAGCTGTACTGTAGAGTACAAGCTCACAGCTTTAAAAAAAAAGTGTAAATCTTCAATGAAATGTTGGGTTGACATTTAGGCAAACTCAACCATGTATACAATTTTGAGTTTGTAGTCGAAGAACTACAGTATTTGAGTTTTTATTTGCTAATGGAAATGTATTTGGTTAAGATGACTACCAAGCAATACATTGAATGAATAATTAGTGTTAGAAACATTACTAGGAAGGCTCAATAAGGAAACCAGTCACAAACAGCATGATTCTTTTAATGAGCAAATGTTGCTGACTTGTGTGTATAGCTTGTCCACTGTTGTGACACGATAGTAATGGGACACGTTGGCTTACTGTTAACTTATCCTGTTTTTATCATTTTGAAATGTGTTTTCAATCTTGCTTTGTGTGACCTATTCACAAGGTTTTCATTTTGAGATGTAGACAATAGCTGATTTCTAGTGAGAAGACAGTCGTAAAATAGAAGTGTCAGGATTTAAAGAATGAAGTTCTGTTGGATGTTAATTGGTTGATGCCAATCCGTAGAAAATTTAAAAGGACAATGTCAGTAGGATGTTAAGAGCTGTGAGAATTATTCTAAACGGCTAAAATATTAATGATTTTAGTTTTTAAGATATGTGTACGTACCTTCATTGTGGAATATGAAGATTCTCATGTCCTGGTACACTGGTGACTGGATGCTTTGCCTGTCCCCCTGTGTAGTGTCACTCCCATATAGTCTGTAAAACAGGCTGTTGCTCATGAACAAGTGTATTATAGTGACAGGTTACTGGTAAGAATGTATGAAAGATGCTTTTAACAATCCCCTCTTCCTTCCAAATATCTATAAATGTCCCATTTTTGCAACAAAACAGGTTTGTCTGATACTGTCTGGGAATATGGTGTTTTGTTTATGCTTAGATAAGTGATCGGCTTGGTAATTTGGTTCCCCTTTTAGTTAGGTCCCAGTGGTCTGCACCGGAAACATTTACCAACCACATGCATGGAGAACAAAAACAGTGTATTTCTAAGGTCAGTCTTAGATATTTTGTTGACTACTAAATCATCCTTCTCCTGTAGTTTTCTGAAAAACTAAATTAAAATTAATCGCATGGGAGAGTTAAGATACACCTGTATTCATATGTTGAAGGTGTCGGGGATAAAGTCTAGATTTGCCTGTCATTCAGTTCTCCCATACCATTTATTCCAATCTAATATTTGATGGGTGGTAGAGCTGCAGAAAATGTGACTCCATCTCTCCTAAACGGTTAAATCTGGAACAGCCAGATGAAATTAATGTGTATGCTGGTAATCTTGGATTTGTTGAACGTGATTCACTCGGAAATTGTTCCTGATTTTATATCAATATATTTTATCTGGAATCCAAGCTAAACTAGTTGTTGAATTTTAATGATTTTGATAAACTATTTGTTACATTGGTCAGTAATAATAAAATTTATCCTGGGATGATTTCAGTTTTTCCAAACATAAATAGACCTTTTTTATTTGATTTAACAGTTATTATAAATATATCCAGTGTGTATTGACTGTGACCGTGTGTGCCCCTGTATGTGCAGAGGAGGCACTGCATCGTCCGTTATTGTTGCTAATTGGATGTGTGTCAAGGTGTCTAGTATGTCTGGGCTTGTTCAACTTAACAATAGTATTTTACATGATGTAGCTTCTAATCAGTTTATATAGATTACAAATGATTATTTAAGTAAAGTGTACAACATGTATCAGCCTAAATATCATGCATTCACGCATCAATCAGTATGTATACACTGAGTCATAAGAGGAATAAAGGAATTCTAATTCTTACAATCTTATCTTTCCATTTATTTCACTATGTGAAGTGTAATGTATAGCTTGGTTATAACCTTCCATCCTTAGGAATGTTGTGTTTAAGAATAATCCTTTTCAAAGTTCCTGTGAGCTGTATGATATAGCAAGGGTAAAATCGCCCCTCGAAATAGCATCCTCTCATCAGCTTAAAGTTTGTTGAGATGCATTAAAACTTTAAAACGATGAACAAGAGCGCAAGTATGCACTGTAAATTCCTATACATGGCTGGAGAAATCCGGATCAACAGAAAAATCATCTTCATTGGAAAGTTTGTAGATGAAGGAATCATGCAGCCGGGCCAAACAGTGGACGCGTGTGGAAAGTAAATGGGTTCTTAGTCACAAGTTCGACGACAAAAATGGGGTAAACTATCACGTTTGTATTTAGACATTAATACATCGTTAAACGCAAACATAGTAAAAACTACTTATAATTTATCGCTTGAATAGCAACTTAATTCTTACCGCGTCAGACTGAAACAATCCAACAGTGACTAGTAAAGAAAGAAATATATAATTACAATGACAAGCTGCTTGGGAAAATAGACATGGACATGTATAGCATGCACAAATATCCGTATGTAAAAAGGCAAATAATGTGCAATACCAGCGTTGCGAATCCATGCAATAAAACGTCGTAATAAGACGAAATTCAAGTAACTTTTTCTTTCTTTCTAAATTCGGAAGCAGTTTGTTTCCATAAACCATGAAGGCAAACAGTAGAAATGTACAAGTGACACATGATGTGCGACTTCGTTCAACATTTCGGTATGAAGTCCAGAGGAGCATTGGGGAGGATTTTGTTTGGTTTTTGTATTGTTTAACGGCCCATCGACAATGTGAGTAATTTAGGGCCAACATTGGAGAGGAAAATAAGACGACAGTTAAAAAGAATCTCGAATGTATTCTATTAAATCGGGGAAAGTACAAGAGATCAACGGTATGGAGAAAACACCGAAGCAAATGTGCAACACGACCATCAGAAAGCATTGGAGATAATTTGCAGCGATAACGCTGACCTGGGAGAACACAGCACTGCGAATGCTACACGACTAAGAAAACAAGGAAACGCTAGGCCAGCAAATAATAACGTTAAGACATTACACCCAGAAAACCATGTGTTTCTCTTGGGGAATACATTTTCTCCAAAAGGTTTCCTCATTCGCGTTTCATTGGATAAACCTGCTAGGATTTGGTAACATGTGTGGCTTCCAAATAGTTGGTTACACCCTGTGCGTGATGCCATTTAGGGGATAGTACGTTGTTTTGAGTGGCTATACTGGCGATTAGAACATGAAATTTGGGTTTGAACTCGAGACCGATAGGTCGAGAGTTTAAACCAAATTTCATGTTCTTATCGCCAGTATAGACACGAAAATCAACGTACTATCCCCATTCTAACACACCTTAACAAATATACTACGCTCCTCTAATATGTTTAGAAACATTGTATTTCCTTGTACGAAAGTACTTTGTGAGCTGAACTGGCGACGTGTCATTCTGCAGCGGACTGACCAATCAGAAAGAAGCTTTCAAAAGTCGGTCATTTGGCCCCGCCCATACTGGCGAGAGCTCGATCTGTATGTTGACGAGGCGGAATATTTGGATTGTTCGTGAACGTCCTATTACCAAAGTTTATACGACACATTCGGTTTACTGTTGATTGAACAAGTTCATACATGCACATGTCAGTATGCATACCAATTTGTGCTTATCGACAAAATCGGTGATATTTGTATAGATTTTTGAAGAGTTTTCAGGCGCGTAGCTAGCCCCTTTACCATGTGTAAGCCCCGACATGGGGTTGCCGAAGGCAGCCCCCCCCCCCCNCCCCCATGCTCGCGCCTGCTAATGATATCAAAAAACAGGGCAAGTATGGCATGAAGGATAGAGAAGACAATTTACTAATAAGTGTATGGAATTTCATTCAATTCTGTTGGAAAATAGATTGGAGAACAAATCAGTGAATACAAAGAAAAAAATACTTAATTTTTGCGACGTAAAAATATTTTTTTTGTGGTCAATTGGGTGACGTTATCAATAGTGACGTCACTTGGCACAATAACAGTTGCATTCGGGGTGGCCGAATGTGCCCCGGCAAAAGGGGCCGAACGTGCCCGAAATTGATATTTTCTTTAAACAAACCCACATTGATTGTCTGTGTCCACTGTGCCATACTCAGAGTCGTTTGCGCCAGGAGAGAGTTTCTCAATTTACTCAATCGAGCAGTTTAGTTCCGCCTGGAACTGTCCATTAATGCAATGGACATTTATAAACTTCATACATTTTTGTACTAACTATTAACAATGTATCATATATGAGGAATTACATATGTATACTATATATTCAAAACTTAAACTCCACTTTATAGTATCAACAAGAAAAAATAACGTCATGAAAACCTATACTTGTCAAAATCATGTGCAAGTCCGGGCTTATTGGCTTACATGGTAGCTACGCGCCTGGTTTGTGTAAATGCATACGACGCATGTGAAATGTTTGATTTGATTTCGGATCTAAATAGATGCCTTTACACGGATGGAACGAACGTTTCAGTAATAAATGGAGGTAAGAACAAGGAATACGTTCTTTTTACTTTTTAATTCATTCAACAAATGCATTTCATCGGTTGCCTACTAGCCTTATCAGCGGGATATCGCTATGAGGCGAGCTTGACGCAATATTGTTTTGGTTAGAAACGGGGCGTGGCTTAAGTGCGATGGGAGGAGCTTAACACGATTGACCATGATTCTATCGCAGATTAGAACATGGTCCGTATCCAATCAAAACACGCGTTGCAAACGAATCGTGTTAGAATGGTCATTATGACATGAATGCTTTTGGACATCAGCTTCCATTGTGATGTCGTAGTTCATGCAATTGTTTCCCCGATCTGAAACAGGAATAATTATTTCCAAAGAGAAACATAGTTGTCTAGACGTTGTGGGGGAAATGTCCCCGAACTTTCGATGGTGGATTACCGTATTCAAATTTTAAAAGACAATTTATGACGTCACAACGGAAAATGACGTCGCAAGCATTGTTATTTGATGTCATCAATATAAGATTGGCCAATGAAATAACGTCCAGGGTATAACCCATTAGTTGGTAACCAAAAATGTTTACAACTCATAGCAGGTTTAATGTGTTACAAATGTAGGAGTGAGGAAACCTGAAGTGGTTATGAGAGAGATGTAAATGGATTTTGGGGGGTTAAATGCGTGGGTGAAATCACACGTTTTCATGTGACAAACCGAATTGAGATATAATTCATGGAAGTTTACATAGTTTTGAAATAAAAACAGTAATTATTTCACTACAAATAATGTGAGATTGTGTGCTTTGTAAAACCTTTTACAATAAGTTCCGCCATATTGAGATATCTTTTAACTGAAGTTATTTAATGTACATGTATAAAAGTTTGACTACATATACATTGCAAAATGCCCCGTTTTCATAGGTCCGCTTCTATCTATAAACAGCTATGTCAATGCATACTAATATTCCATGAGTTCACGATGAGAATACTGTACGTCTAAATTAGTTATATTACTATATATAGTAAATCATGATAATCCGATACACATACACGTACATAGTTACATATAAATAGTATGATATCAGGTACAAAACCTTGGCAATATCTGGTATTAGTGCCTGCCTGCTTGCCTGCCTTTTCCCCATTGTTCCCAGGAACAAAACCTTAACAGTATGTGGCATTGGTGTTGCGGAATGACATATTCAAAAGCCAAAAGAATAAATAAGTAACTCAAAAAGCAATGTTTACATTGGGACCTAGTTGTAGGTCTAGTTTATTTAAAGTTACATAGAAATCTATTCAGAGAGACCTAGTTGTAGGTCTAGTTTATTTAAAGTGACATAGAAATCTATTCAGAGAGACCTAGTTGTAGAAAAGAACAGTGGGGCATACTAGTAGACGAAGGTCTGTAAGTATGCTTGAAGTACCAAGCTAATAAGAGTTCTGATTTGCCCTGTATTTTGCTATAGCAAAGGGAAATAGAAAATATGTTGCTTTAATACTTTTTTTGCAACAAACCTATGAGTAACTTCGAAATGATCAAACTTCCTTACGAAGCCTTTGTCTTTATCTAATTTCCAAATCGTGTATACAGTAGCAAGAACTCTCTGCCTTAAGAAGCTCATTACCGAGAATCAAAAGTCTCGAAATGAAAAAGACGTTTTCCTTCTTTAAATTTATCTAAACATAATAGCAAAAGATGCTAGACATCGTTAGCTCTAAAAAACGGATACGACACTTGACACCAATTTATTTTAAAAATGAAGACCGTTTAATATTCCCTATAGTTCGTGTACAAAATCTCTGGTAGGGTTTTCCATGCGTGATCAAGTGGCTTAACGCAAAGAGTTCATCCAGTCAATGAAAGAAGTATTAAAGCTCGACAACAAACCGTATCATAGCTATCTAAACACAGAAAGCCCATATTTTGTTCTCTTAAAGTTCGCACAATTTGCTATCGTTAAGAACAACTTCGGACTTTGAAATGTTTATCCGGATTGACTCTATTAGTAAGTGGTTTCTTCTTCATATTTCTAGTGATTACTTACATAACAAGGTGGTTGCACTGCTGGTGGTATTTTATTACCTAACATTAATTATTACATTGATTTAGTCTGGCATGGTTTACACAAACTTTTATAGTTTAAGTATTAATTACCTGTTGTCTCCAAAGTTGTAAATTTGATTATGGTTGTATATGCATCTTCAATTATCCTGTTTTTCTACATGTGTTTGGGACCACGTAAGATAAGTATTTTAAATCTTTTGACATGGGTCTTATATTCATTAAACACATTGACCACGTGGTAAAGTAAACATGTTTACATAGATTTAATGGCAATATGATTCAATACAAATATTGTAATAGACTAAACGACCATATGATACAATAAAAATATATAAATAGACTAAACGACCATATGGTACAATAAAAATATATTAATAGACTAAACGACCATATGGTACAGTAAAACTGTTTTAATAGATTTAACGACCATATAATACAGTAAAACTGTTTTAATAGACTAGACTAAACGACCATAAAAAGCAGTAAAACTGTTTTAATAGACAATACGACCATATAGTGCAGTAAAAATGCTTTATAGACTAAATGGCAATATGGTGTACTGAGGTCCTTGATATACCAGTAATGATTACATGTCCTTTATTATATTCAATAACAAGTTGTTCCATGCTTATTCGGCAATTTTATTCATATTGACTTTATTGGCCCACATTTCGTCCGCAATAGCACGGACTTCGATCTAATTCTGTGGCATTAGTATCTCGCTGTACCATGTGATCCGTACCTTGTAAACGGGGTTTCCTCTAGCATCGCAAAAACTGATATAAGTCGTAGGCGTTATACATATGTATTGGTGTATTAGCGTCGTATCACATCCCTCTAATTCCATGGTCGTTTGTAATTTTATTTTATTTTCAGAATCAATAGACAAAGGAAAGTTAGCGAAGGAAAGGAAGCTGGCAAATAATACGACCTTACACTAAAAAGGAAATCGTAAAACTACAGACCAGTAAGTCTTATTTAGTGATTGGAAAATGCATGGACAAACATTATCAATGATGAGTTAATGATGCACTTAGAGGAAGATAACCTTTTGTCAACACATGAATTTGGATTTAGGAAAGGAAAACCTACAAAAACACAACTATTGGCAGTCCCGGAAAGTATATCTAAAATTGTAGACAGTGTGGAATCAGTGGATATCGTGTATTAAGATTTAAAAAAAACACACCATTTGATACAGTGCCTCACCATCGACTATTAACAAAACTTGAAGGTATGGAATAAGAGGACAAACTTTGAACTGGATAAGAGCGTTTTTAGAAGGAAGACAGCAAAGAGTCGTGGTACATTGTACATGGGAAAACATCTAAATAGGTAGAAGTAAAAAGTGGAATAGCAGGGACACTACTAGAAACAAATATAGAGCAAAGAGATTTAGACAAACTCAGCAACTGGTCCGAAAGTGTCAATTAAAATTAAATGCTGGTAAATGCAAATCACTACATATAGGTCGCATTAGTGGAAAAGCCTGCAGTATGAAAGAAAATGGGACAGAACAAAATATGGAGCAATTTGAGGAGGAATAGGATCTGGGAGTAGTTCTTGACAAGATCATGAAATTTAATAAATAAATATCAGAATGTGTGGCAAAAGCTAACAGAATGATAGTCTTAGTGAGAAGAACATTTGATTTTATGGACAAGAACACGTTTTAATTAAATCATGTACAAGGCACTTATAGGATTCCCTGTTGAAAACACACAGCGAAGGGCAACAAAATTGGTGAAAGCATATAAAAACCTGACATACAAGGAAAGGTTAAGTACATTAGGACTAACATCATTAGGAGGAATGACATGGTCCAAACTTTTAAAATAATGAAATAATTTGTTATTGTTGACAAGGAGGGGTTCATTGAGATGGAAGATCATTCACGAACTAGATAAATAACCGTGAATACCCATCAGTTAGTCATGGGTATCTGCCGCCGCCGTTGCATCAGGGTCTACAACCGCTGCCGCCGCCGCTGTACTTTGTCTTCAAGCATCCATTCACAGCAAATATTTCCGGACCGACGTCTTGTGGAAAGACATATTTTGACGGGGAAAATAATATGTTATATCCGTCTTATCGTTTGTATTTTACTGATCCGGTTGAAACCGGTTTAGATATTTCTAAACGTGATGCAATCGGGAAAATCCCCCTTGATGTCGCGCATTTAGTGGGGATAACTCGAAAAGTGACAAATAACATCGAACGATAAATTGAGTTTCACATAGTCTACCTATGAAATGTTTCATGCTGCTGTTTTGTCATGAGTTAAGTATTATGATAACCCCATACACCACGCTGTATTCGGAGATAGTAAATAAATGTACGTGTGTATCTGACCTTCACATTTGTTATCTTACCACTGTACTATTCTTACACTAGTGTTAGTAATGATCCTTCTCACTTTTCCTACACCGAACGAGATAACTATTCATGTGGGTTATATGTAGGTCAGCATGGCTCCTCACAAGGTATGCGTGGTAGGAGCGGGTGTTAGCGGACTCTCCACCGCGGTCAGTATACAACGGGAGCTATCTTCAAACGTCCTGGTTACCATAGTTGCGGATAGGTTTAGCCCGGACACAACATCGGACGGATCTGGTGGTTTCTGGGGTCCACATCTTGTAAACCCAGAACAAGCAAAGGACATCAAGTAAGATAAACATTTAAGTGATCTTTAAAGCATTACAGAACAAATTAAGAAGCTAGTTTGTTTCTTTATATAATATGTTACAGGGAAGAGAGTAGTGTGTTTCCTCCTAGCCGTCGCTCTACCACTGAGCTAAAGGGAAATCCCCCTAGCGCAATGCTAGAAAGCGACCTGTAGAATTAAAATAGTTTCGCCCTCGAACACCACAAACACAGGGTCACTGACAGGCTAGAGAGTTGTGTGCTTCCATCGGAGATCAAATCCGCGATCCCAGACTTCCTAGTGAGACGCTCTACCACTGAGCTAAAAGGAAAGTCCGTCTTAGCTAGAGGCTAGAAAGCGACCGTAATCCTATGCACACTTAAAATCTGCCACGTATGTATTATGCACACGCACAACTTCAGTTTAATTACACAACCAAACGTTAAACTATAACTGTGAAAAAAACCATAACAATCACGAGATACATGTACTTTCACAAATGTATTTCGAAAGAAACAGGGGTTCAAAATAAAGAAAAGGGGAATTTCACCCGAGAGATTTTCGAAAAAAAAAAACACCGTTTAAATTTGAGGATTGCTCACATCATTGTTCTATTATTGAGACATCATGCACGTAAAAGTGAAGTGTACTGGGAACCTTCCATTTAAATATAACTCAGACAAGTTGTACATGACAACTGTCTGTCTGTTGTCTGTCTGTTAATCACCCTCTCTCTCTCTTCGTCTCTCTGTCTGTCTGTCTGTCTCCATCTTTCTCTCTTTCGTCGTCTGTCTCTCCCCCTTCTCTCTCTCTCTCTCTTCGTCTGTCTGTTCTCCCCCCCCCCCCCCCCCGTTCTCTCTCTCTCTCTTCGTCTGTATGTCTCCTTCTCTACCACTTCTAACACCTTTGTAGAGATTCTACGTCCGCAACTCTACTTTGTGTTTGTAAAGTTCTGTAGTATTGTAGGTAAAAGGAAATGATTAAGTTGTAAAATGCCCTGTTTCTTTGCGCCATTATTTTGACAATAGCTTTATTATTCAAGTTTTTGTGTGTGCTATTTTCAGTAAATGGGGAAACGAGACATTTGACTACATTTTTGACCTGTTCCGTTCACAACATGGCGCAGAAGTTGGGGCTCAGCTTATTTCAGGATACTGCTTTGGTGACGAAGATGTATGTATCAACAGTTGCTATGTTATTGTTTGTATCAATATACATTAACTTTATTGGAATGGTAAAACTATCAGATACACTTTGTCAAATTATTACTGCGAGGATATTACATATTAATTCAGATGAGACGTTTATCTATGTATCGGTAAATTATCATCAACCAAATATGTATAAGAATCATAAAATATTCAATATTTGCCGTTATTCCCATGAAACAAATATCTTTCATAAAAACGTCGAAAGACATTTTGAATAGATTTGTGTATCGTGACTGCAAATACAGCACATTCATTTGAGACGAGATTATCTGTAGGAATGTCACGTAATGTCGGGTTGATGGTTTGTTTGGTAAATATTTCCGATCTATTTATCATGTATATGCGTTAGATTTATTGCTAATTTTGTTCAAATGATTGCTAACTAAAAGCGTTATGGTAACATATTATTATAAAAAGGTTCTCAAGTAAATGCAATAATAAAAATATATCCATGAAGTTGATTCCTAGTTCCTAGTTCCTTATTCCATTACTTATTCGATTCCCTGATTACTTATTCGATTCCCTGATTACTTATTCGATTCCCTGATTACTTATCAACACAATGGATGGTTCAAATAGTACATTGTGTATTATTACGCTGTTTGATGATGTATTCAACCGTTTCACTTCCATACTAAGTGGGCATTACTTATTCGATTCTCTGATTACTTATTCGATTACCTGGTTACTTATTCGATTCCTACTTACTTATTAACATTATAA